ACCGCTCTTCCGATCTCTCCGGCGCGCTCCTCCCCCTCCGCCCATCCCCCAGCAGCCCCGCCCACCTCCCCACCGCCAGCCAATCAGCGCACCCCGGGCCGCCCAGCTCCCTTATCACACCCCCAGCCCGCCCCCTGGTCCCCTCCTGCCTCGCTAGTCCTCCTGCCCCTCCCTGGCTAGCCGTCTGTCCGTCAGTCCGTCCACCCGCATCAGTCTGGCTCTCTAAGCTTTCTGTCCTCACCCCTATCTCTCCCTCCTCCCCGTGGCTGGGATCGGTGTTCCCGGGCTTGTTCTCATCTCCTTGGACTCTCTGCCTCACTTTCCCTCTCGGAGCCTCTCTGTCGGGGTCCCTGGGTGTCTGCATCTCTGGGTCCCCTCTGATTCTCTGGGGATCCGGGCCCTTTGGGGTCACCTCCCAGCATCTGTCCCTCTGTCCCTGTCTGTGAATCTCCATTTGTCTCCCTGGAGGGGCCCTGTCTGGTCTGTTTCTCTCTCTGCCTCTCTGATTTGATTCTTTCATCTGTGTCTCTCTGCCATCTCTTCTCTCTGGCCTCCTACTTTCTCTGAATTTCCTTTTTCCCTCCGTCTCTGACTCCCCATGGCTTCCTCTCTCTCCTATCCTTGTCTTGTCAGACTGCGGTGTCTGTCTGCTCCCCACCCTTCCCCGCCGTCTGTCCCTCCCTCCCTCCCCGTTCCCCCCAAACCTATGAACTTGAACCAACTTACAGTTCATGTCCCCACAGGGCCAGGGATTCCCCAGGGCAGGGGGCAGGGAGCTGGGGGCCTTTAACCCTTCCCTGTCCGCTGCCAGGGGAGCCCCGGGGGTCAGCTGGGCTGTGGCCTGGGGAGGGGAGGCATGAGCCTGTGAGCAGCGAGGGCCGCGGCAGTGAGGGAGTGTGTACGCCTGGGGGGTTATATAGGGGGCCGGAGCAGGCGGGCGGGGGGCAGGCAGCAGGGGAGGGCGGCCTGACACATCCTGACTCACCCTCCCTGCCTGCCTTTTCCATTCAGACGAGCCGGCTGCCTCGAAGGGCTCACGCCGCCTGCTCGGAGGAGGGCATGGAAGGAAAAGTTGGAAAAGTTGAAAAGGGAAAGGGGGGGGTGGTCGGAGAGGGGCTGGTGAGGTCATTGGCGTCCCCTCCCTCCACCTCCACGGGTTGAGGCAGACACACATAGCTCAAGAGCTGGGGCCCAGCTGTGGGTGGGGGTCCAGCTGGACTGGGACAGGCAGAGAGAAGTGGGGAGGTAGTAGAAGAGAGAGGAGAGAGAGGTGGGGACAGGGCAACAGATAAAGGCCTGAGGAGATGGAGGCTTAAGAGAGTCTGAGGGATAGAGAGAGACACACAGAGGGAAACAGGTATACAGAGAGATGGGGACATGGACAGAGACAGGGAGATAGAGATACACACAGAGATGGAGGCATGCAGAGAGATGGGGACACTGGGACAAAGACAGGGAGACACAGACACACACATAGAGGTGGAGGCAGCCAGACTGGAGAAGCAGAGAGGACCAGAGACAGAAAGGAGAGGTTCTGGGAGTCAGAGATCAAAGAGTGAGATGAAGACAGCAGGACTTGTAGAGACTCAGAGAGACCCTGAGGGGAAAAGGGACAGAGCCATCAAGACAGAGAGAGAGGAGGCAGGTGGCAGAAGAAATGCACAGAGATAACAGACACAATAGAGGCAAGATTGACAAGGATGGAGAGGCCTCGAGGGACATAGACAGGGAGACACACATATTAAAGAGAGGGAGACAATGAGATGTCAGGGACTCAGGGGACAGAGAGAGGGACAGAGACAGGTAGAGACATGAAAGTGGGAGAGAACCAGAGATGGAGACTGGGGACCAAGAGAAAGAAACATTAAGACACTGCATAGAGGCGGGACCTCAGGCACATGACTGCGCCTCTGTTCCTCAGTTTCCTCATCTGTGAAACAGGGATAATGAGAGTACTCCCCACCCCCTCAATGCCGCGGTGAGGATGGAGCGAGCGTATTCATGTAAAGCACAAAGTCAGCACTCAATAAATGTTAACCGTTGCTCTTCTCATCATTCAATTTTATTAATACATCCAGGGAGACAGAGAAAAAGATGTAGCCACTGGGAGAGACTGGAAGGTCAGGGGAGAGACGGAGATGGTGAGTGGGGGAGATAAAATGAGGATGATGGAGATACTGAGGCAGTGACCCAGGGCCAGGGCCAGGGAGCTGGAGACCTGGATGATGCCACACAGAGAAATGGAGACAGGAGGGGTGTCCAGGTAGAAGAGGGACACACAGATTCAGGGGGAGACAGCGATGCCCACACAAGCACATAGTGGATGAATGCCACATAAATGGGGGCAGAGGTGCTCTGGAATTCACAACAGAGCAAGTGAGGGACAGAGACACCAACCCAAGTCCCCAGGAGATCCTCTCCCCAGGATCTAGATGGCAGAGAAAAATGGGATTGGACTGCAGGCACAAAGAGGCGACAAGGACTCCGAAGGTCTCCCTGCAGACCCCCTCCCCCGTGCCCAGCCTCTGAGACTGTGCTGAGCTGGCAGGACTCTGGAGATGAATGGCGACTGGAGACTTCCCCCTCCCCATCCACCACAACTGGGGGGGTGACTGCTCAGGTCCCCAAGGAGGTGAGGTCACAGCCCCCCCATTGTGGGACATGACCTCATCACCTCAGGTAAGAGCTTTTTCTCTCCCTCTCTTGGTTTGTCACAGCCACCCCTTCCAGGGCCCCCCAGGGGCCCTCCCCAGCTCCTGCTCCCGCTGGGACCCAGGACTGTGACCACTGGGTCTCCGCCCCTCAGGGGGCCTGTTTCCGGCTGAGTCAGCGTGGGGGGCCTAAGGCTGCGTCAGTGAGGGGAGAGCTGACGTAGCCCCCCCCAGACCGGCAGGGCCAGCCAAGGTGACTCAGGCCACCAGCCTGGGGGATGGACTGGCCTGAGGGGATGGGGGACTGGGCCTGGGGCCAGCCCTGGAGCAACTACAGGCATCAGATAACGCCAGCCCCTTGCACCAACAGGACCCAGAAACCCAATCCCCTAGCCCGTCCTCACTAAGATCAGGATTCCAGGCCCCCAACCCCTCCTCTCTCATACCCAGAAGACCAATCCCGCAGCCCCTCCTTCCTTAGATCCAGGAGTCCAGACTCTAAACCTTAGTTTTGAGAAAGGTGGAGAAAAACTTGTGGCTCTTCTGCAATATGGGGAGCACTTTCTGTGGGAAGGTCGTGAGTCTGGGACAAATCAGGGGTCCCGGGCTGGTGCCAGTTTCTTATCCTGCCCCAGTTCTCACTCTGGGGGTTGTGGGGTAATATTTCATTCCCCCCTCTCCCCAGTGTGGCTGCAGGATGCTCAGGTAGATGGGGTGGGTAGAGAGCAGGAGGGCCGGGGATTGCTTGGGATTCCTGAGTCTTTCCCAGACCAGGGCGGGACAGGTTGGGTTACTTCTGCAGAAACAAGGACAAGACAGAGAAGAGAAAGGGAGATGAAGATGGGAAAAGAGATCCAGAGGCAGGAGTGGGGAATCCCAAGAAATGACAGATGATAGAGACTAGTAGAAACTGAGGCAGGAGCACAAAGACACAGAATGAGAAAACAGAGATGCAAAAAAAGATGGAACCTAGGAAGACCAGTTTAGAGGTTCAAAAACAGAGATTGGGAGAGACAGGGTACCAGAAACCCTGGGGTTGATCACAGACACTGGGGGAGATGCCATTGAGACAAGTGTGGTGCTGGTGGTGGGAGGAGGGGCTGGCCAGAGAGTCCTTGCTCATGTGCTAGCCCCTGGGTAAGGTGGAGCTGGCTGGGTGTGAGGTCAGCAGGTCTCAGGCTGTGTGTGTCCGTCTGTCTGTCCCTGGGGGGTCCTGTCTGGCCTCTGGGGGGTGACGGGGCAGACCAGCCACAGATGCAGACCAAGCCTGTCATGAGTGGTGAGGGCCGTGACGGCGGGGGCCCCCCCAGTCCTAAGCCACAGTCCAGGGCCAGGCAGCCCCGCCCCCCCCACCCCCTCCTTGATCCCGGAGGAATCCCGGGAATTGGGAAGTGGGTCCAGATGATGTTGACACAGGAAACGGTCAGCAGCTGCCCAGCCTCAGTCCCACAACCCTTTTGACCCCCACCCCCGGCCCCCTGCCGAGCCCCCTCTGTCCTGTGTCATCTATGACGGAGGCAGCCTGGGGCCCACTCAGCACCCACCAGGATGTTTACAGGAGAGATGGGTATGACAGAGTCAGCCTCATGGGGCTTCCTGAGAAATGGGATATGGCTCCTGGACTGTCCTCCCTCAGAACCAGGAGTCCAGACCCCAGCCCTCCTCCCTCAGACCCTGGAATTCACCTCTCATTTTCTCTCCTCCCTCAAATCCGGGTTTCTGGGCCTCCAACCCCCTTTTTCCTCAGACTCAGGGGCCCTAGCCCATGGCAAGACTGCCCAGAGGAGATGAGATTCCACCCTCACTGTGATGTAAAGTTGAGTGGATGTTAAGATGGAGTGCAATAATGATCATGGTCCCAACTCAGCCCCCCAGTTGGCTTCTTTTCCATAGAAGCCACGCCCCTCCCCAATCATTGGTGGAGACCAAAGAGGAAGTTTGAAGACCCCCCAGTTTGACTCCTTCCCCCACTCCCACCCCATTTACAGGTGGGGAAACTGAGACTTATGTGGGAAATGTGGGCTCCCTGCCCAGGAGTCACTTTCACAGCCCATGAGCAGTTCCTGCCCATTAAGCCCTCAGATCTCAGCCAGGGCCAGAGGCTGGCTTGGCCAGCCCCCTTCCCTGGTTGAACACTCTCTATGGCTTCAGCCCCACTGTCTCACCTCCCTCCTAGGTCTCCTGGTTGCTAGGGGGGAACCTTCCCTAACAATGGTGCTCAGTGAGGGCTTCTGTATCTCAGGGTCCCCCTTCCCCTAAGCTAAGGGGAAAGACTCCCTAGCAACCAGGTTTCATGAACCTTTTCGGCACCTGAGGACACCTTCTCAGGCATCAGGTTACTAAGGAAAAGGATTCCCTGGTCTCCCAGATCCTCAACCACTCAGGGTCCCCTGGTTGATAAGCAGGAGAAGCCCCAGACCCCCAACAGCCATGCCCCTTTCTAGACTTCTCTTTCCCACTCAAGTTGCTAAGGAGGCTCTTCTAAAGTCTGAGACACCCCCCCACACACAGGTCAATAGACCAGGCCAGTGTGAACCCTTCCTTTTTCCTCATTGCTCAGGGAACTCACTAGCAACAGAACTTAGAATCTTGGTGCTGGGAGGGCAGGAGGGTGGGGCTGAGCTGGTTGCCGGGGTGATGTCCTTCCAGGCCTCTTCCCACAGAGGCCCCAGAGGTCTGGGGAGGCGACATGGTGGGCTCTGGGATCCCAGCTTTGGGCCTTCTCCTGCTGATGCAGGGCTCAGTAGGTGAGGGTGCTGATGAGAGATCAGGGAGCTGAGGAGGGGGCCATCTCAGCCTCCATATAGCCCCCCAACACCACCCTTTTTCTCCCACAGATGGGAATGGAATCCAGGGATTCTTCTACCCATGGAGTGAGCAGTGGCTGAAATCCTGGGTCCCCCCGGGAGAGGGGGCCCACATTAGACTCTTGGGTCTAAAGGGAGAATAAGCTGGGTCCTGGGTCCGAGAGAGGTGGGATTAGGGCCTGGACTTCTGGGTTTGAGGGAGGAGGAATTGGGGTGTGGACTCCTGGATCCTACACTGAATAAGCAGTAGACAGGCAGCCCCTGAGCCTGGCTTTGGGACCTCATGCTCTAAGGCCTGTGGGGCCAGGCTCTGTGATGAAGCTGCCCATTGTGGTCATGTCCAGGCTGTGAGGGTGACGTGTGGGACAGGGAGAGCTGTGGGGGTCAGGCGGCAATCGAGAACCCCAATCTGTGCCTGCGCCTGCGATGTTGCTACCGTGATGGGGTCTGCTACCACCAGCGGCCAGATGGTGAGTGCCCCGAAGCCCAGGTTCCTGGGGCATGGGGCTGAGACACTTGGGTCTTCAACCTCCCTCCTTTGTCCAGAAAATATGCGGAGGAAGCACATGTGGGCCCTGGGCTGGACCTGTGGCAGCCTCCTCTTCCTGATCTGCAGCATCTGCCTGTTCTGGCAAGTAGGGTGGGGGCTCTGGTGGGCACCCTCACCTCCCAAGGAGCAGGCAGGTGGGTAGGCCAGACTGAATGTATTCCCTCCCCACCAGGTGGGCCAAGCGCCGGGATATGTTGCACCTTCCAGGTTTCTTGCTGGGTAAATGCAAATTATCGAGGACCGTCTCGCTGCTGTCCAAAGACCAAGGGACATCAATGGACAAAAAGACACTGTCTATGGGCAGCATGCCTATGGAGGGGCAAGACATCTTGCAGAGCACCGAAGGAGAAGCAACGGAAGGGAGCGAGGAAACAGAGGGGGATGATTAGGGGCATCCTGGGGGGACCCGTCAATACAGATATAGAGCATGGATGTGTGGTCTCTTTTTTGAGAGGTGTGGGGAGCAGGAGGCACAGTGGGAACTTGGTGCAAGGTAAATATGTGTCCATGTGTTGGAAGGAGTATGGTGGGTCAGGGCTGAAAGAGACCCGGGCTGAGTGGAGGGCAGGGGTGCTGGGCTGTGATCATGGGAGGAGCGAGCTGAGGGGAGGTCTGGAATATGAGGGACGTGGAGGGTTAGTGGGGAGGATCTGAGCTGAGGGGGACCTGGGCTAATTGTGGGGGGGCCCTGGGCTAACTGGGTTCCTGGGCTGTGATCATAGGGACCCTGGACGACTGAAAGGTGTGTAGGTGTAAGGGTGCTGGAGTGAGGTGGGTCTGAAAGCAGGAAGTTGAGGGTAAGTGTGGGTTGGGCAGGGTGGAAGGGTACCTGAACTGAGTTGAGGTCGGGGGGCATTCCACAGTCATGGAAATGTGCCCTTCAGCTCTTCTTCTGAAGGGAGTGGCCTCGCCCCCCAGCATGTGCCTGGATTCCCCTGGGCTGATCCTGACAATGACTGAGCATGGCAGGGGTACCAGTGTAGGTCCCCTTCCTGCAGGACCTGAGCCTCCCCCAGAAGATGACTTTGGCTCCCAGACTCCCCACCAGACAGCTGAAATTTTCTTGGAAGTGCACTAATGTCCAAGACTCATCATGTCCAATCTTCCTTCCCTCCCTTCTCTTTGCAGGTGTCAGATCTATACCAACTAACCCTCCATAAGTGTTTTGCCCAAAAAATATCTTGCAAGTTCGATTTGTCCCTGTGTCTGCTTCTTGGAGGACCCAAATTAACACAGGGAAGCATGGGCTGAGGGAGGTCTGGGCTGAGTGGGTGGGTCTGGGCTTGAGATACTTGCCTCCCGCTCTCAACTCCCTACCTGTTCCCCTCTGTGAAGGGTCAGCATGAAGCTGGCTATCCCCAAGGGCATGGGCAGTCTCACTGGGGGTATGGCCAGGCCCATTTGGTCTCCCAGCCCTGGAAGGAAGCAAGCAACCTCCCCACCCCCCCTGCCCCAGCGCTGTCCCTCTTCCAGGTAGACATGCAGTGCTGTGAGGCAGAGCTGTTTATCCAAGTGAGGACAGAGGGAGGACAGGTAGGCGTCCTGGCAGTTGGATGAGGTATGGAGCAGCTGTACATCTCAGTCTGGTCCTGATAGGTGAAGCCATGGGGTCATCTGCAGGGGGGAGGGTGGAGTTAGTGACTGCTCCAGATTCCCCTCCCATCCCTGCATTCCTAAGCCCATCACCCCGTGGCCTGGGATGCAGGGGCAGGGAGTTCCTTCCTCCTGCTTTAGTCCCTCACACATTGACTCACACACTTGCTCATTGGCTCGTTCATTCCTGGATCCCCCCCATCTGCCGGAGAGCCCCCAGCATGTGTGTGTGTGCACGTGTGCATGCGTGTGTGCCTTTAACTCATTGGAATCCGCGTGTACAAGATGGGGAAAGGCAGGGAGAGTGAGAAATGCAGAAAAAGAGACAGAGAGATAAAGAGACCTGGGGAGACAGTCTGAGACAGAGACACAGAGACAGAGTGAGAGAGATACGGAGACAGGCAGAGACAGAGAAAGAAGACAAACAGAGGGAGGAGAAATAACAAATGATGGGGTGGCTCTGCCCAGCTACTCAACTAATTTTGGTCTCAGAGGGAGAGGAGAGTTATCAGAACTAGAACTTTTGGGTCCCTCTGTTAAAATTCAAGTTCTCTGTCCTTCAGGTGTAAGGAGCACCTCACCCTCCCCAGTAAGGAGGAGTCCTGTGTTTGAACAGGTCCATTTTCCTTCTAAGAGGGGCCTATACTCAAGTTAGCTTGGCCATAGTCTCCCATGGGTGGTTCCAGCAGTGGAGGCCCACCCAGCTGTGTTAGACTTTTGGTCAGTGTAAAGGATTTTCACAGGTAATTCTTAACTACAGGTGGTTATTTTTGCATTATATGCCAAATTTTGTATTCGCTCATGCTTTACCATCTCATACAGTTATTCATGCTTTTTTAAACCAGTTTCCTTTTTTGAACCACAGAACACAGAATATGACTGAAGTGATAATTTTCTCAGTTCTCACAAAGAATAGTATAGAACGCATATCGTTCTGAATGCATAAGAGAACCATTAATTCATCACATATAGAGGATGTCTTAGGACATTAGGGTTAATTTTATTATGGAACCTCTATTTGAAAAGCTGATTCAGTCACCCATCCATCCATCCACCTCTCAACAAACCCATCCGTCCACTCATCCATCTACCTGCCCATCAGTCCAAACCTTCATTCAACTACCAATTCATCCATCTACCAATCTAACCATATTCATTAATCAGCTGATCCATTCACCAATCTCCCACACACCTATCCATCCACCCATCCACATCTACCTATTAAACAACCCGTCCGTACACCCATCCATCAATCCAATCACATTTAACCACCAACCAACCTATCTACTCACCAATCCATCCATTCATCCACCCATCCATCCATCCATCAACCAATCCACCCACCAGTCCATTCACCCATTCATCAACCAACCCATCCATCCATCCATCCTTCCACCTACCTGCCCAATCATCAATCCTTCCTGAGTTCACACTCTTTGCTGGGCAATGCTAGGAACAAATGCACCAGAGACCCAGGTCTTACCCTCAAGGCACTACCTGTCAAGTGGGAAAGACAGTACCAACACAGACACAGCACATGGTCGTACAAGCAGCAATAGGAGTAACTCAGACAATACGAAGGCCCAGAGAAGGACTGAGAAGTGGAGTTGGATCTTACAGGACATGTGGGAAGTTTTCTGGATGGAGTTGGAGACAGCAAGGACACTTCCGGTGTAGAGAAGAGTATGCACAGAGGCCAGTTGGTGTGAGTCTGGCTGTCTGGGGACTGAGGGATATAATTGCAGAGAAAGCAGGAGGAGGGGGACCGAAATGTGGGGGTTTGGGTTTAATCAGAGGGCACTAGGAAGCCACAGCAGGTCTTTTATTTTTTTCTTTCATGGGCTGGCTGGTAATGGGATCCAAACTCTTGACCTTTGTGTTACTAAGCTGAGCTCTAACCAACTGAGCTAACTGGTCAGCCCTCATAGCAGGTCTTTGAGCAAAGGCAGCCAAGCTGGAGAGGTGTGTTTAGGAATCGGGATAGAAGGTAGAGAAGAGAGAAAGGGGAGGGAATGACCGGTCACTTCACTCCTCCTGCCTCGTTGGTCCTCCTTACTCTTTCCCCCTCTCTTAGGACTACTTTGTCGGGAGAATCCAGGCTCCTCTACCTAAGTATTATGTGGCCGGCTTTAGGCAAAGGCGACACCTTTCTGGGACTGTTTCCTCCACTGTAGAATGGGGAAAATAATAGAGGCCCAGTTACAAGGAGAGGATTAAACGGGGCCTGGTGCACCTGGAGGCTGGAGTAAGGGTGGTACCTCCAGGTGCTGGGGAGGGCTGACAGTGACTCCCCCACCAGCTCCCTCAACTCCAGGGGCACAGTCTCATTTGTCTCCCCCAAGTCTGCACTTATGCCTGCTGACGCTCAGTCTTCATCCCTCTGGGTCTCTGCTACTCTCTGCCTCTCTCCAGTCTCTACCTCCTCCTGTGGCTCTATCTCGCCATTGCCTCTCTCTTCTCTCCATCTCCCCTTGTCTCTCCCTCTCTCCTCTCTGTCTCTCCATCTCTTCCCACCTCACCGCCTCCCCCCCACCTCCCCCCCTCACCTGGGGCTCATTCGCAGCCGGCGCCCGCCGCCCCAGGCCCGGCCTCGAGCGTGGCGAGCTGCAGGCGCACGCGGCG